GCTGCGTTCTTTGGTAATTCGGATTCGGGCCGAAAGTCATCGGATTCGGATTTTTATAACGGGTTTATGGAGGTAGCGAAGCGGGTTTGGCTTCTGCATTGTTTGTTTTTCTCATTCGTGTCGGATCTTAACGGGTCTATTTTTCAAGCGAAGCCGGGAGCGAGATTTTCTGAGGTGTTTATGGAGAGCGTAGCGGATTCGGATTCTGATCCGATAAGCGGGAGTACAACGGTCGGGTTCACGGTGGTCCCGGGATTTAGGGTGGGCTCCACTGTTATACAATGCAGGGTTTATCTATTGTAGTGTTGTAGTCTATTTTTATTCGTTGTACAAAAGTAGAGAATGATGGATTTATTTAGAAGAAGTATAATTGTTAGCCTAATTATTATATATTCGGGTTATTTAGATATTGGTTCTCAAATCTTCAGTAATTCAAGTAAAATTGTTAGCCTAATTGTTATATATTAGGGGTATGAAGAAATGACGAGCACAGCGACGAAGACCGTAGGAAAAGACGAAGGACTGTTTTTGGGTGCTGTGTGATCGACCGCGTGTGGCGCGGCGGGCGATCGTCAACGTACACGAGGATGAGTTTTGGTATGTATCAGGTCGCGGTCAACTGCACGTGGCGCGACGGTCGACCGCGAAAACGACAAAAACTCTTGCTCTGATACCAAATTGAAGAAATGGCGAGCACAACGACGAAGACCGCAGGAAAGACGAAGAACTGTTTTTGGGTGTTGTGCGGTCGACCGTGTGTGGCGCGGCGGCCGCCCGCCAAAAGTCTAGACACTCAGGAAAGTTTCTGTCGTTTTCACGGTCGACCGCGCATGGCTCGGTGGTCGACCGCGAGTCGGGTCTAAGTTGGGTTTTGTTTTTCGTTTCGTTTCTGAGTTGATATATAAGTCTAATCCTAATTAATTAGGGTTAAGTACTGATGTTTTGAGCAGTCTTTGAGAGGGGATTGTTACATCCAATCGTGGGAGATTTGTGAGAGATCTAGAGGTTTTGTTTTAAGGTTTATTTGAGAGATTTGCAATCCTATTTGTATTCTCTTGATTTCTAATAGTAAGAACTCCCCCCTCCTTGCCCCGTGGACGTAGGCAACTTGCCGAACCACGTAAAATTCGTTTGTCTTGCTATGTTATTGTGTTTGGCTTATTGGTTGTGATTTATCTCTTTCTTGTTCGTGTGTTTTCGAGCTCCGCTGTGCACAACAAGTGGTATCAGAGCTTCAGGTTTTGCTTGAGGCTTGTTCGAAGGAATCGGTGAAAGATTCCTATTTGAAGAGTTAGATCGACAACATGGGAGAAGTAAGCACATCAGGTCCGTCTCTTACGAAGGAGATACAGAATCTGAGCATCAATAACACGAAGATTGATGTTTTGAAGTTCGACGGCAAGATCAACTTCGGTTTGTGGAGATGCTAGGTGATGGATGCTTTGGATGCACAGAATTTGAAGGAGACTCTTGATTTCCAAGAGAAACCCGTTGATATGGAGGATAATGTTTGAAGAAGATGAATAGTAGGGCTTGTGGAGTTATTCGGTCATGCTTGACGCCAGATCTTATTTATGACGTGATGAATGAGACGTCGGTGAAGAGAATGTGGAAAACACTCAATGAGAAGTATCTTACGAAGAGCATTGATAATCAGTTTCACTTGAAGAAGATGTTTTACCAGTTTAAGATGAAGAGGGGGGTTTCCATTAGGGAGCATGTAAACAATTTCACGAAACTACTTTTAGATATGACCAATGTGGACATCATGGTTGAGGATGAAGATAATGCGATGCTACTTTTGTGTTTGTTGTCCAATGATGATTACGGTACGTTCGTTCTCACTATGATCAATGGAAGAATTGCTGTTAGCTATAAGAAGGTGACCTCAGCTTTGATAAATTATGAGTTAAGGAAGAGTGATGGTGAAACCTTCGAGAAGGCATCGGAAGATGCTTTAGCAGTTCGAGGTCGTACTCCAAACCACCGCCAAGACAACCGCTTAAAATCGAAGAATAGAGGTTCCTATAAGAGTGTTGGTAGAAATCAATGTCGCTATTGTAAAGAAGAAGGATATTGGAAGATTGATTGCCCAAAGTGGAAAAAAGGGAAGAATAAGGGGAAAGTTGTACAAGCTTCAGAAGTAAATGTTACAAAAGTTGCTGATGAACATTCAGAGTCAGATTCTTCAGGCTATTCGTATCCTGCACTACCGTTGGTTTGCAATACCGACTCTACGAAGTGGATGTTGGAGTCAGTAGCCACATATCACATTTGCCCTAGGAGGGATTGGTTTCTAGCTTTAAGAAGTTAGAAAGAAGGCATGTCGTGCTTATGAGAAATGACCACGTATGTCCTATTGGTGGTATTGGTTTTGTCCTGATCAGGATGCATGACAGTGTGGTGAGGGAGTTGAAAGAAGTGAGGTTCGTACCGCAGTTGATGAAGAACATCATTTCTCTTGGTACTTTGGAGGCAGCTGGTTATCGGGTAACATTAGAGAATGCTACCGTGAAGGTCACGAAGGATTCTATGGTAGTGATGCGAGGAGTCAGGGAAAACTTCCTATACTACTTGAAAGGCAAGACAGTTACAGGGGGTTTGGCAGCTTCTATTACTACAGAGGAGGACACTACCATATTATGACACATAAGACTAGGACACACAGGTAAAAAGTCCCTACAGTCATTGCCGAAACATGGGCTTTTGAAATGTGCTAAGACCTACAAGATGGAGTTGTGTGAGCATTGTGTACTTGGGAAGAAGACTAGAGTGAAGTTTGAGATGGAGTTGTGTGAGCATTGTGTACTTGGGAAGAAGACTAGAGTGAAGTTTGGCACCGCTATTCACAACACCCAAGGTATATTGGATTACGTTCACACAAGAAGACTAGAGTGAAGTTTGGCACCGCTATTCACAACACCCAAGGTATATTGGATTACGTTCACACAAACGTTTGGGGCCTTTCCAAGAACATATTACTTGGTGGGGCTAACTATTTTATCACTTTTATTGATGACTATTCCAGGAGGAATTGGGTATACTCTTGTAGGCTGTCAAAAAATCACAATAGATAGCTGATCCCCATCAAAACACCGATGATGGAAGTTACAATCAGACGACTTTCTAATCACTATAGCCGCAACTCTACAATCGCTACAAACACGGCCTCATCTCTGAGATGATTGATCTTGATGGCTGCGACAACAACATTACTAATATTATATTAGCAATTGTTAAAGATGCTGATGAGCAACGTAATGATTTTAGAAATAAAAGGTTGGACTTAGTTGGTGAGTTGCTTGGTAGAGAGCTGTTGGCAAATATTCGTCTAAAAGTCGCTATGGATGATTGATTCCCGTCAAGCTTCAACAAGGAAAGCTATAATCAAATAGCTTTCGTGCCGACAAATGAAGGTTGCAAATAGGGGACTTTTCGCACAGATCGAGAAGAGTTATAATTCAACGACACTTCCGACAGCTGATGAAAACTCTACCCAGTTACCTTCATAATCAACAGTGAGAGTTACAATCTGACGACTCTCATATCCCATAACATGCAAAGATCAATAAGCAGTAGCCTTTGCAGTGTTATAATAGACGAGGTTACAAGTCAACAAACCTCTCTCAAACGCAGAACTCACTTCTGCGTTTCTCAAATTCAAAACGCAAGGTCCACATCTGCGTTTCCCAAGTTCAAAACGCAGACGAACTGAGCGTTCTTCAACAGACGTCCAACTCTGCAACGCAGAGTTAAAACACAAAACGCACGAACTGTGCGTTCTTTGGCAAAACACTTAACACTGCATCCCAAATCCAGGACGCAGAGTTGAGAACTTGACACACGAGCGGCCTGTGCGTCTCAAATCTCTAACAGAGATTTAACTCTGCATCTCAAGCCTTGGACGCAGAGTTAAAGCCCAGAACACCAACTAAGGCGTTTTGACTTGTTCAAACACAAGTCGAACGGCCCCGAAACCGTTATCCCACGTTCTGAGAGATTTTTGCCTACTTAGGAGCGGATTTAGGGGTTGGTTACAACCCTAATCCCCCTATAAATAACCAACTTACTCAATTGAATAAGTGGTTGACGGTGCTGGTATCAAAACCATATAAGGTTAACAAATCTCAGCAGCTTAACCGCACAGAGAAGGCGATTTTCCAAGAGATCAAAGAACTGATCATCAATCAGTTAATCAAGTCTTGAAGAATCCTTTCACCAACGGCGGATTTACTTGGCTCTTAACCGAATCTTTGGTTCTAATAACTCTGTAACAGAGTCTTAACTCACTCTGAGTTCTGAAACTCGTTTAAGAGTTCTTAATTAGACTTGCAACACAAGCTAATTACACTAATCAATCATTCGGTTTTTAACTCATTCTGAGTTCTTTACTCTCGTTAAGAGTTCTAAACCGAATTCATCAAATAAATCAATCGTTCCAGTGAATCAAGACGGTCGGATCATCAATGGAGAGTAAGTTCGACACAAGCAATCGAAGGAGGCACTCCATCGCTACCAAGAAGAACCCAGTTTTAAACAAAGAGGAGAATCAAATTTATTCTTCTCTCTTTTGTAATCGGAATCCAAATTATAATTGATTTTGAGAGGAATACAAGTTAATTTTTCTTTCATTGTCTTTTTACTACAAATTTCCCACAAACAAAAGATGGCGACTCTGCTGGGGACTAGCTTCTCTGACGAGGAAGTGGTGGCGCAATCCGACGTTCACCTCATTGGAACCACCGTCGAAACTCTCGTCGTAGAGTTCGACCAAGCCAAGTATGAGGAGGTTCTCTCCTCTGGGTCGCTTAGCCCTAAAGCTAGGCGTGATACCCACAAGACCTCTAAGGAGGTCGTCACTACTACTGAGATGCCAAAGAAAGCCCTCTCCTTTGGCCAAGACCTTAAACTCGCTCTGCGAGTTGAAGACTCCTCCCCCGTATCACTGCGGCACATAATAGGTCAAAAGAGACCTATGTCGGAGGAAAGCCCAACCAACGCCGACGACGCTGCGGCCAAGGCGTTGAAACAAGCTAAGAAAAATGCCGCTCGACGAAGGAGAAGATCCATGTGTAGGCATATAAAATTGCTTATAGGTCCCTTAGCATAGCTCGGCACAAACCGACGAACCAACGAGGCGACGAGATCGACGAATCGCATGGAAGCGACGGAATGCACCCATACGCGTTCGGAATCAAGCCAAGTGTTAAAGAATCAACGAGTCATCCAACCGGGAACAGACTCGGACGAATCACGATCGAATCAAGATCAGTTTCGGACTCGAACTCAGAAGCGGATTTACTGCCAAATCAGGAATCCAAATTACTGCCAAATCAGATCATCAAATCACGCGTTCGGAATCAAGCCAAGTGTTAAAGAATCAACGAGTCATCCAACCGGGAACAGA